ATATTAATTCTTCCTTTAAATACTATTTCTATATCAATTAGGCATGGCCTCGGTTCGGGCCGCCCGGCCCGAGACCGGCCTGACCCGCTACTGTGCGGGCCCGGCCCGGCCCGGTTTTCTGGGTCCGGGTCCGGTTCGGGCCGGAGGCCCGGGGGTGGGGCGGTTCCGGGCTCGGTTCATGGTTTTGACGGCCCGGCCCGGCCGGTTCGGGCCCGGGTCCGGGCCAAATCTATTTTTTTTTTAATTTTTTTCATTTTTTTTGGGCTGTTGGGCTTGGGCTAGCTGTTTAGGCCGGTTTGGGGGGGTTTGGGGGGGTGGGGGGTGGGAGGGGGGGGGGGGAGAAAGGAAAAAAAAAAATTAAACCGGGTGGCCCGACCGGCCCGGTCCGGCCCGGAACCGGACCCGGGACCGCCCTACCCCGGTTCGGGCTCGGGCCTGCTATTACTGAACCGAGGCCCGGCCGGGCCTAGGCCCGAGGCCCGAACCGGCCCGGTTCAGTCCACCCCTAATATCAATGTTGGGGAGTGTTGCTTAGATGACAATTAGTTAACATCTTGACATTGGTCTTAGTAATAGCTATTCCTTCCTCTATGTTAATATTGGGGAGTGTTACTAAGATGACAATTAGTTAACATCTTGATATTAACTATAGTAGGATTCATTTTCCTTAATATTCTTCCTTGAGTATTAATTAATTCCTATTCATATTTCATATTAATATTTTTGAACATTACTTAAAGGATCAACTAGTTTCATTTCAAATATTAATTATTACTAGAAACGATCAACGAACCGATGGTTAATCGTTGATGGTTTCACAAGTAAGTAACTTCGGTTTATTAATGCACGGTCGTGGTTAGTAAACTTAAGAGGGATTAATTTTGTTGGTTAAACCGAAACCGTTGTGTTGAGGTTATCAATCTCAATTGATTTCTTCAAGGAGTTAAGAAATTAAATGCTACTATCAAGTAGGTATATGGCGTTGTTCTATACTTGACTAATAGTAAGGGTTATTAATGAACGGTCGTTGTTAATAACTTTCCTCGATGAATTGGATATACTCCTCGATTGAGTATTCGAGAGGAGATAAGTTATAGATATAACAATGATCGACTGAAATATATCAACAAGTGGAAAGTAGCAATGCCAAGTCCTTTTTATCTTTGAATTAAATCACATATAACTCGTTCATCTTCGTGTTTAAATTTATTACTCAATCCCAAAACCCCCCCTTATTTACTAGTTTTATAAAAAGAGAATTATTTCTTTTCCCTGTGGATACGAACTCTACTACGCTATACTACGTATAAGTGTTAGTATTGAATTTATTTTGACGCACCGTGACAAAGTGCACGTCATTTGCAAAGAAACATTCACTCGATTATGGTTAATGGGTAAAAATATGAGACACATGGTCCTTATATAGTGTATCATAAGATATGAATTTTGCTCTAGGAATGCACAATAACTATTATTCTCGTCAACTATATATTATCATTCCCATGGTTCATGGTTGAATCATTAACCTTAGAATGAGTTTCTAATTAAAAACCTTATTATTGTATTAATAATTAGATTGCCAATAATCTTCAAAGTCTAAATATGCGGTATTTTTAGTCAAACACTAGCTAATTGGGATAGGCTACATCCATGCACAACTCAGGTAGTAGATACCTAGAAAGCACAACACATGAGTACTTGCTAGCTATACACACAACAAGTATCCCCACCAATGTAGAAAGGTCAAAATAATACCTGGTGACCACTCGCTCATACAATTATTCCAAGTGTCTGTTAAACTTGTGGCTGGCTTCCCAACCTACTACATTCATATTGGATGGCAGGATTAGGTTATTTAACATCCTGATCTAACCCTACCTTAACCCATCCATACTTGGTCAAGGCAGGCATTTGATCATCCTTGATTTATCCTTGGCTTGGCCTTTTGAAGCATATAGGCCCATGCATGCATTCAAAAAGTGCATGCATGTGGTTGCATGTTCATGGCTCCATGTTCAAATGCTTCATGACTTATATTTTAATCTAATCATCCCCGAGCTCTAACATTTTAGTTTCTTTGTTGTACTTGAGTAGATCACAAATTCCAATTGCATCAACCCCTTCCATGATCAATATATATGTTGAATAAGGGATTGAAACCTTTTCACCGGCCATTAATGTTTTATATATTATCACAAAATACTCATCCGAATTTCAGTTGGTTCGTGGACGTGTCTTAGCTTCAAAAGTTGAAATGTGAAGTCAATATTTAATCATGGGTTGGACATGCAATCTTTCTCCACCCCTAGTGTAAATCAACAATGTTCGATCAATAAGAACCTAAACACACGTCACAATAAGATTTCTCATTAGGGAGTCACCAACTCTACCGTCTCTACGAATGAAAAGCTTTTTCTAAATGATGACATGTATAATACTTCACAGTTAATATAAGTTCCATTTTTTATTTCTTGCAAACATTTTTAGTTGGGGAAAGCCCAATATTGTAACCCAACAAATTTGATAACATCGAATTTAATTTTGAACAGAAAATCTATATAGTTCTCGATAAAGATGACTAACATGTTACGTTATAAGAAACCTTCTAAAATCACTATGTGCGTGTTTGACATAAGTCGTTACCTTGTAGCTCTGGAACTATATAAAAAGTCTTTAAAAGTTTCTTGTTGTCTATTTGACATACCAAGTTTTAAGAGTTTTTTTAAAAATAGAAGATCTTTTTTTAGATGCTACGGGGAGTAGCATCTGAGAAAATAGTCAACTAAATTTGTTTCAATTAGTCCAAATAGTTTGTATATAGAACAGAACTAAATCAAAAAGTCAACTTTCTATCAAACAGTTACTATCTTTTTCTTTTAAGATATTTCCAGTATCTAGGAGCTAACAATTACTAAAAACTTCATAAAAGTATCTTTTTTAGCTAGGTGTGTACCAAACATACCCTATATATATAACCAAAGAAATTTGAATATTTTGTTTCCAATCATACGTGCAGGTCTGCAGGGAATGTGATCCAAGATTGTCCAATTGTCCAATTTGTCGTGAACTTATTACTAGTCGTGTTAGATTATATATATGACTACAAATAAATGATGGTGTGTATGTATACCATATGTTCTACTTTATAAATTGGTCGCATTTTTTATTTTGTTGTTACATTTGATGATGATGATGATATATGTAAGGAAGTTAAGAAGTGTTCATGGAATGATAAAATTATTTCAAGTTTATTATAAGAATTAATAGGGTAATTTCCCAAAATAGGAGTAAATGGAGTTTGGAATTCCAAAATAGGACTACATTGTTTTTATTTTCTAAATAGGACTAACATGTCATTATTTACGGTCATCTTGTAGGCGTGACTGTCAAATAGTTGCAGTACAGTGCATTTAACATGACAATATTTATTATAATTAGTGACTGTATTTTTCAATTATGACAATATTTTTCATACATGACAGTAACAACTCCTATTTCGAAAAACAAATATATAGTAATCCTATTTTGGAATTTCAAACCTCATTTACTCCTACTTAGGGCAATTTCACGTACTAATACTACTTCCGTCCCACTAACATTGGAACATGAGGATGATGCATGGCAATAAAGAAATGTGGTTTTATGTGGTTGATATTGAATCAATAAAATAAGAATAAATTAAGAATAATTTAGAACTACACAAAATTTACTAAATTTGATATGTGCAATCTTAATGAGATGAAACGAAAAGGGAAAATTGGTCAATTTTAGCGGGACGGAGGGAGTACTGTTTTTCTTGCATGCACTTTCCATAACACAAATTTTCTTCATATGAAAAACGAGTATGCATTTAAGTTTCTTGATCAATTGATCCTGTATTTGGAAAGCAATATGCATCCCGATGTGGTATTAAAGATTTCAAATCCTCTATTTGGAAGCATTATATATGATCACATATGTGATTTAAAAAGATTTTCCTTATTAAAAAGACATTGTGCATGAAATTTTCTTGGGGTTATGTCTAAAATAATACTAAAAAAAGAGCTATGAACAAAAAAGAGACCTTTATTTCAATTTTCCAAAAATGAGACTAACAATGGGTTAAGAGACTATTATACCCTTATTTTAATAGAATCTCACCCATTAGTCTACAATAACGCCACAGTGACCAAAACCATTATCGTGACCAAAATTCGTCACTGACCAAAAATCATTTGTGACCAAAAATCCAAAAATCTGTCAGTGACCAAAATCATTAGTGACAAAAAATTCTACCTAGTTACCAACGTCAACCCGTCCAGTGACCAATCCGACTAGTTACCATGACCAATCCACCCAGTGACCAAAAATCATTTGTGACCAAAATTCCAAAATTCCGTCAGTGACCAAAATCATTAGTGACCAAAATTTTTACCTAGTTACCAACGTCAACCCGTCCAGTGACCAATCTGACTAGTGACCATGACCAATCCACCCAGTGACCAAAAATCATTTGTGACAAAAAATCCAAAAATCCGTCAGTGACCAAAATCATTAGTGACCAAAAATCATTTATGACCAAAAATCCAAAAATTCGTCAGTGACCAAAATCCGACTAGTGACCATGACCAATCCACCTAGTGACCATGACCAATTCACCCAGTGACCAACCCGATTAATAACAGTTACATGATCCTCCAGTTACAATTATCTGATTCGCGAGTTATAGTTATCTGACCAATCAATTATTGTTATCCGACTCGACAATTACGTTACCCAATTGACCAGTTATAGTTACATAGTTAAGTTACCGGGTTCACGTTTAAAATTACCCAATACCACACCTCCGACCACCGCTGGCGACTACCACCTCCGGCCAGGCGACAACCGCCACCGGCGCACCACCACCAAACCCCAGACCCCTCCTTTGCGTCACCCCATCCCCTACCTCAGCCAGCCCTTTGCCTTACGGCCCTTACCAGACCCCCTCCCTTAAGTAACCCCAGCCCCTGCCTTTCCAGCCCTTGCCCGACCCCCACACCTGCCTCACCTCAGCCTATACCTCCCCTGCCATTGCCAATCAATCTAGCCTCTTCGTCGCAATAATTGCACCTCTTCACCCACCACCGGCCAACCAGTCCACCGCCGCCGCAATAATCGCACCTCTTCACCCACCACAGAACAACCAGCCCACCGCCGCCCAACCCTAACCCTCCCTAGCCGTCCAGATTAGATCCAGGATCAACAATCGGAGATCGAGAAGAAGAAAAGAAGAAGATGATGAATAGGACAACGAAGAATAACCTAGACAGAAACAGCGGTGCAACTAGATAATGATGGCGGCGCAGATGGACATAGGCGGTGCAACGAGATAACGATGGCCGCGCAGGTGGACAGAGGCGGTGCAACGAGATAAGGCTGGCGGCAAAGGTGGACAAGGGCGGCGCAGGTGGAATGGAAGTCTGGGGCGAGGGACGAGTGCAGAGGATTGGAGAGTGGAGACTGGAGAGGGGATGCTTCGAATGCATCTGAGCGAGTAGGTGACGGAAGGATTGGTTGGCTAAAAGAGTTTAGGGGCATTTAAGTCAGCTTGATGCAATTTTAGTCTCTTTTTAGTCCAAACAAAATTCGGTTCTATTTATGTCCTTTCAAAAGCCGGTAGTTGTATTTTTGTCATTATTTCAATTTTCTTTAGATGTTTGCAAAAAAGATGTTTTTCCTATGACTTTCCTTAAAATTTTGTCGTCCTTTGATTATGAAAAGGATTTGGATGGTGTTTCCTTATATATTAGAAAATATTCTTTTTATTCATTTTATGAGAAAACCTTTTTGTTAAGGAAAATTTCTTAATTAGAGGAGATACATGAACAACCATTTTGAAATTCGTAAAGTCTTTTTTTTTTGTAGACTTATTTTTTGAGAAAGATCTTGTATTTAATCTCTTATTAGATAACTTCTTTCCTTAAAAAAATATTTTCTTTATATGATCTTTGATTATTTGTTTAAGAAACAATCTTTTCTGTTTAACTTAAGTCAAAATCAAATTTGAGTAGCAAAGGAAATATATTTTTAGGGAAACTAAATTAATAATTGATAAGTCCGTATTTTGACACGCATTTGATGCATGTTGAGATTGGCTTTTAATGGTTTTTCTAGCTTTAAGGTGTTATAAGTCTCAATTTTAGCTCAAGTCATGTTTACCAGGCGTTGGTTCGAGTTTTATGTAGTTTGGAGTCAAAATCAGAAATTCAGAGTCCGACACCGACGCTTGAAGAGCAATCGGGACGAATTGAGAAGCATTCGAGATTGATTTGAGAGCTTTGGAGGTCAGCGGAAGGTTTACGATGAAGATAAGACAAAAGAGCTATAGAATTGATTACGAGATCAAAAGAAGACGAATAGAGCTTGAAAACGGTGATCAGGATGACCTTCTGTCAATCGTTCAAGCATATCTCTTTGTAGAAGCATCCAAAGGACACCATTCAAGTTCCATATTCAATCCAACATCAAGGGCTACAAATCATATGAATACACCATTTCGAGAATCTGAAAGGAGCAAGGTGAAATCAGACGATGAAGTCAGATGATCTCTGTTGCGATTTCAGAATGACACCTTCCACCATTTTATTCATATCTCTTGATTGGATGATTCAAATCAAACTCTGCAAGTTGGGGTAGATAGATGACTTCATTGTCTATAACTTTCATGAAGGAATTTTTGTCAAATTCGGAAGTTTGATGCACATCGTGCGTAGGGGAACGCACGATTATGCGTCTGAGGCGAGAAAGCAAGGAAGCTACTACCAGCCACGCACGATCGTGCGTGGAAGGGGACGCACTATCGTGCGTACATACGAAACGCGGATTTCAGCCCCTTTTTAGTCCCAGTTCAGCCCAAACTCATATGTTCTCTCTCTCTCTCTCTCTCTCTCTCTCTCTCTCTCTCTGTGTGTGTGTGTGTGTATAAGGCCTCCTTTCTCCTGTTTAAGGGTTACGAATTTTACGGAGAGGCTTAGGGACGAATTTACTTGCGTTTTACGTTGTTTTCTTCCAGAACCCTGGGATTATTTGTAAGTTCACTTTTTAATTAATGAAAATTAATTCTATTCTTCCCAATTCTATTGATTCTTCCATTATGAATTGTGAGTAGTTTAATTAGGGATTTGTGGTTGATGAAGGGGTTAATCATGATGTATGGCTAGATTTTTGATGGACTAATTGCATGAATGACGTTTAATTTGTGTTTGAATAATTTAACTGATATCTCTTGTAACCTAGAACGGCCGCTAGAATTACAATTGCATGTAGAATAAATTAAGAGAGATCTAGTTTATTCTAGGACACATTCACACACACTCAATCATTCGCTAAGAGATTAGTAGCGATTAAGGGGCCGTAAGGTCGCTCGTCTTGGCAATAATTTAGGATCCCGTCGCATGAGAGATCAGTCTGGTCCCCTAAATTATTGTACTCTACGCTGCGACAACGGTAAGAACTACGCCTGATCTGCCAGAAAATATGGTTACCCCGGAATCAATCCATGTTCCCTTCGTCGTTAATTAAAGAAAAAACTAATCTTTTCAATCGTTCATTCGCATTAGTTTGTTTTTAATTCAACCAACCAATCTAGCACATTGCATTTATTTTATTTATTTTATTTTCATCGCTGAATTTAGTTAATTCTTATTTCCCTTTTGTTCGTCCATGTGGAAACGATACTCGTACTTTCCACCACTTTTTCTAGAACCTTTTTAAGAGCGAGAAAACTTAAATCAATATTCAATCTTGAACGAGCATTTAAGTTCAAGGATAAGGACTAGACCACTCAAGTCTTTTCCAGGGCACGAGTCGAATACATTTCCAGCATCCATTACTAAAATAAATGTATCACTAATTATTTGTCATCAATAAAGCAATACGCTCCATCAACATTAATCAAAACAGTGATTATGAGACCACTTTTGATTTTGCTCCAACAACACTTATAGTTTCAGCATGAATTTGCTTCACATCATGATATTGAGACCACTTTTGAGCATTTGATGATGTCTAGTGCACCTGAGGTATAATTCTATATTGTTTATCGGAAAAAAAAAAAGATGTGAGGTTCACTCTACTCCTCTTTGCAAAAACATCTAATTGGAAGCAGAACAGGGAGTACAGTTCCGGATTTACAAAAAACTAAACTCGACATTGGAATCAGATTCACCATCTAGTTGAAAAATCGAAAAAACTAGATTTGATTCTGATAGAATTGTAAATCGCGAACTGTTTTAGCAAAATTTTGACAAACTAAAACTAATTAAGAAGAAGATTTTATGAAGAGGGGATCTCGTACAAGAACAATGAAGAAGATGACAAGAGAGTGAATAAGAGTGAAAACTTGTATATTATTCGAATGTGAGCTACCTGATTACTAGGGGTGGGGAAAAATACCGAAATTTCAGTATATCGGACTTATCATATCGAAAAATACCGAATTTACCGAAATGTTTGGTATACCGACACTTTTGGTATGATATGATACCGTACCGAATTACTTCGGTATGGTATCGGTATAAGAAATAAACGGTATACCGCTATACCGTCATACCGAATTCCAAGCCAATAATTTATTTAAAATTATAAAAATAACTAGAAACACAACACTAATTCAAGGATAAATGACTTTATATCCATCTTTGCTGAATCATTTATACTTTTTGTTGGAGATCAATTTTATTTTAATTATATTTATGTTGTTTAAATTTTTTTAGTATAATGTTTTGTTATCTTCATGTATCAAGTGTTGAAATATCTAAACATAATTATAATATTTTTTATTCAAAGTTGAATAGAACGCCAATAAGTTATCATTGATATTTTATAATTAATTTCATTAATGATTGTAGTATATCACTATTAAAACTAATTATCAATATTTTATTTGACATATAATATTTTGTTATATTAAATCATGATAATTTACCGATACCGTACCTTACCGTACCGAAATTTCGGTATACCGAAACAAGGTATACCGATATTTTCGGAATGGTAACGGTATGTTTTTTTGCATACCAAAATTTACGGTATGGTAAAGGTATGAGATAAAATATTCGGTATACCATACCGAACCATCCCTACAATGAGGGATATCCTATTTATAAGAAGAGAAATTAATGCTCTCATGAGGGCTTTGTACGTTACTGACGGATTGGCCGTCCGTTACTGACGGGTTGGCCATACTTTATAACGAATTCAAATCTGTCATAAAGGCTGGTCAATTAGATTTAATACATTCATTAATCATATTAAAGAGCCTAATAATGTACAGAAAATGTTACAATATTTAAAATGAGATTCTTGGACGCTTCATTGACTCCAGTTGTCCGTTATTGGCGGTTTGACGTGACGGTTCCGACCCGACGGTTTCACAACTCGTCATTAATGTTGGCCAACACAAAATGGGTAGCCTTCTGCCTTAATATCACTACTAATTACAATAATGAACACAAATTCGTTACAACATCCATCATTAAGCCTCATGAACGTATCATTAACTTCTATGGTCAATCCCCTTTAATGCAACTTAAACCGTCGGATTCTTGCTCTAACACGAACTACCATAATAATAATAATAATTCTTAAAAGGAGTATCATGTTTAATGTATCCATTTGCCATTAGCATAAATGGCCCAAAAACTCCTTTGTAGAATATCTTACACTCTTTGTACACAATACAAATACCCCTTAACACTTACATTTCTTCTTCCTCTCCATTGATCACAAAGATAACAATTGTCTATGAGTACTAAAACTGACAATTGTGGCCTGTGTGTTGAAATCTATACTGAAAAATTCAAAAATTTGTCTAACATGACAACAAAATAGGTACGGTATTTTGTATATGCACATATATGAATTTCGGTATTTTGCATATACCGAAATTCAAATATATATGCACATATATTGATTTGTATGTCAATATTGTCTTCCGCCTATGGGTACATTTTGACATATAAATCAATGTCCTTAAACAAACACAAAAGTTGTGTGTGCACAAACACTAAAAAAAGGACTACAATTTGACAAAAACTAAAGGGAAAAGGTGCAAATAGGCTCATGTACTAACCAAGAAAGGTCAAATAAGCCCTTATTTAGGAGGCTTTGTCCGGCCGTCGCCATTTGGGGTGGTTCCCGGTGGAATTTTTTTGATGAATTTTTTTGAGCATCTTATTCATTAAGTCTAGTTTACTCATACCAAATTTCAGCTAAAATTTCAATCGGGAAGGCATTCAAATAAATTCTTGAAAATAACTGCGCAGTTAGAAGCGCAGTTATCTTCAAGAATTCATTTGAATGCCTTCTCGATTGATGTTTTAGCTGAAATTTGATATGAGTAAACTAGACTTGATGAATAAGATGCTCAAAAAAATTCATAAAAAAATTCCACCAGGAACTACCCCAAATGACGATGGCCGGACAGAGCCTCTTAAACAAGGACTTATTTGACCTTTTTTGGTTAGTACATGGGCTTATTTGCACCTTTTCCCAAAACTAAAAAAGAAAGTCATGAATCAAATCTTTTTTCGATTGTTTTTCACTTTTTTGTTTGTTTATTTACAAGGCATTACTTTTTGGCAACTGTTTGGTATTTTGTGCGAGCCAAACACAAAAAGGGAAGAATTTTCCATCTTTACAAGTCTTGGTGGAAAGTTTCAGATTCCTTATTGAGATGTAAGCATTGATGTATTCAAATTTGCTAAAAGTAGGGCCCATAACCGCGTAAAGTGTAGAGAAAAAATAAAAAAAGGACCAATGCCTTCCAAGTTTTAAGTCGTTTGGTTCTCTTCCCTTTCGTCTCCGCGTGATCAACCCTAAACACAGATTGGAAATTTCTTCTTTTATTTTCCCCAATTCTGTTTCCACACTATAAATACGTTTCTTCTTTTCTCTTCCAACCGCAACCCTTTTCCTCTCCATAGCATATGTCTCAGAGAGCCAACGTTCCACACTTCGCATCCATCGCCTTCGGCCTCCATTCTCATCTCCTGGTTTCCAGTGAGATGAGCTCAACTTCCAATTGGTCTTCCTGAACCATTGAATCGAGTCTCTGCTCTGTTTTTTCCTTTTCTTTTATTGTTTTCTCTCAGAAATTTGATTAATTTTCCAGATCTCGATTCCCATTCTTGATTTTCCGATATGGGTATCAAAGGATTCGTTGAGGGAGGAATTGCATCCATTGTTGCCGGCTGCTCGACCCACCCCATGGATCTCATCAAGGTCCGAATGCAGCTCCAGGGCGAACCCGCCCCGGTTGTCCAGAACCTCCGCCCGGCGCTGGCTTTTCCCTCCTCCGCCGCCCATTCGGGTCACATTCATTTACCATCTCCGCCGCCGCGGGTGGGACCCGTTGCGGTGGGTGTGCGTATTGTTCAACAGGAAGGCGTCGCCGCTCTGTTTTCCGGCGTTTCCGCCACCGTTCTCCGCCAGACGCTCTATTCGACAACCCGGATGGGGCTGTACGACATGTTGAAGAGAAAGTGGAGCGACCCGAACACGAACAACATTCCTCTGGTGAAGAAGATAGGGGCGGGGCTGATTGCCGGTGGGGTCGGTGCTGCCGTCGGGAACCCGGCGGACGTGGCGATGGTGAGAATGCAAGCCGACGGCCGTCTCCCGGCCGGTCAGAGGCGGAACTATAAGAGCGTCGTCGACGCCATTTCACAGATGGCCAAGAACGAGGGGGTCACTAGCCTGTGGCGCGGCTCGTCGCTTACCGTGAACCGCGCCATGCTCGTGACGGCGTCGCAGCTCGCGTCGTACGACCAGATAAAGGAGACAATCGTGGAAAAGGGAATATTGAAAGACGGGCTGGGAACGCACGTCACGGCGAGCTTCGCCGCCGGGTTCGTGGCGGCGGTGGCGTCGAATCCGGTGGACGTGCTGAAGACGCGGATGATGAACATGAAGGTGGAGGCGGGGAAGGCGCCGCCGTACGCCGGCGCGCTTGACTGTGCGGTGAAGACCATCAAAGCAGAGGGACCCATGGCTCTGTACAAGGGATTCATTCCCACCATTTCAAGGCAAGGACCATTCACTGTGGTGCTCTTTGTCACACTGGAACAGGTCCGGCAATTGCTCAAGGATTTCTAATTAATTGACGATGATGACGAAAAAACTAGTCAATACACTATAACCTACCTAGTATTATAGAGTTTTATAATTAATTATTCTTAAATTGCGCCACACTGTTTTCCATCTATACAATGTATAACGTGTGTGTGCTAACTAAGATCGTGCATTGTGGTACTGAGTTGTATTACGGAATATTATTAATATTATTTAAATTATATTATTTCTATTTTTTTTTTATTCTCATTCAATGTCTTATTAATCCAATTTATGTTTTCCAATGGTTTACTACTAAAATGTAGGATGGTTTTTATGCGAGTAAAGGGTCAGATAAGTCTTTATATGTGAGGTTCTATGCAGTTGTTTTCAAGAACTTCATTTGAATACCTTCTCGATTGAAGTTTTAACTAAAAAAAATTCATCAAAAAATTCCACCGGAAACTGCCTCAAAATGGCAATGGCCGGAGAGAACCTCCTAAATAAGGACTTATTTGATCCATTTTGTGCAACTTCTATGACTAATTTGACCCTTTTCTCGTTTTTATGCTAACCGATTCGATGTTATCAAATTTCTGTGGGAAAACTGTCAAATAGGTCCTCGAACTTTCATAAAAAAGTCAATTAAGTCCTTCTATAGGAGACTCTGTCCGGTCGTCGCGATTTGGAGCGGTTCCCGGCGGAATTTTTTTATGAAATTTTTTGAGCATCTTATTCATCAAGTCTAGTTTATTCATATCAAATTTCAGCTAAAAATTTAATCGAGAGCGCATTCAAATTAATTCGAGAACACAAAAATGCGCAGTTATCTTCAAGAATTAATTTGAATGTGTTCCCGATTGAATTTTTAGCTGAAATTTAGTATGAGTAAACTAGACTTGGTGAATAAGATGCTCAAAAAATTTCATCAAAAAATTCCACCGGAAAATGCCCCAAATCGCGACGGCCGGACAAAACCCCCTATAGAAGGACTTAATTGACCTTTTTATGAAAGTTCGAGGACCTATTTGACAGTTTTCCCAATTTCTGTGGAGATGGACCGTTATTGGGGTAATTCAGGTTAGAAAAGCATCAAAGGTATTAAACTACTACGGTATTTTTTTGTTTTGGAAGATGTTCGGGTTCGGTATCATCATACGCATGCATGAGGGACTACGTAACGCATGCATGCCCATTAAGTTTGGAGTCTTATGTATTTTAATCATTGTTTATTAATTTATTTTAATTTGTACATCCTTATCTCTTGTACTTAGCCGGATAAGTAGTAGTTGATTAGTTGTACAATTCTATCCGATTAGCAACGTAGGCTTCGATCAAAGTGTATATATGTAAAGGATGTACAGACTTCATGATTCATCGAATAAAACAATTTTATTCGTCCAGCTTTTACATGGTATCAGAGCAGGTCTCCGACTCCTGAGACCTTGCCCGACGAAAGTTTCTGAGTATTCCTACGGAATACTTGTTCTGGAATTATGACGAACGGTAATGGTGACAACCATACCGAACCGATGAAGAGGAAGATCAACGATCCGTCCTCACCTTATTACTTGTCGAGTTCGGATTTTCCCGGACAGAATATTTGCGGAATGTTCCTCAGGGGCGAGAACAACTATCGTGAATGGACGGTCGCAATGAAAAATGGATTTCGGGCCAAACGGAAGATGGGTTTCGTGGACGGCACCATAAAACGTCCCACGAACAACCCGATGGACGATGAAGATTGGGTGGTCGTGAACTCAATGCTAGTTGGCTGGGTTATGACCGCTATTGAACCCGCACTCCGGACAAATGTGACCTATATGGAATCGGTGTTCGATTTGTGGGAGGATTTGAAGACCAGATTTGCCGTCGGTGACCCGATGCGCATCCATGAACTCAAGGAAGCTATTCGGGATTGCCGGCAGAATGGTGATTCCGTTAGCATCTATTATGGGAGACTGAAGACTCTTTGGGATGATTACGACGGGTTTCGGGATCTGCCGCGTTGTGACTGCGGGAAGTGCACTTGTGACCTGGAAAAGAAGTTCAAGAAGCAAATAGAAAAGGAGAAAACCCATGACTTTCTAATGGGGCTTGACACGGAAAAGTTTGGTGTGTTGCGGTCAAATATCCTGGGGACGGATGAACTGCCAGCACTCTCGAAGGTTTATAATTTGATAATCCAGGAAGAACGCCACGTTGGAATAATGAGGGGACGTGAGATCAAAACTGATGCAGTTGCTTTTGCGGCACAATTTCATTCCAGCAAGGACACCAAGGTGGTGTGTTCTTTTTGTAAGAAGCCAGGACATGACATTGACAATTGTTTTAAGAAATCCGGTAACTATCCGGAATGGTGGTATGAAAGTGGAGGAAAAGGTCGTGGCGGAAAAGGGCGTGCTGGAACGGGAAGAGGACGTGGCCGAGCATATGCTAATGCAATGACAGAGAAGGGCGAGGAAGGCAACAACGGTCAGAAAGAAGACGGACGAATTCCGGGCTTCACAGACGAGCAGTGGCAAGGCCTTGTCAAATTGTTGGAGAAGAGTAAGATATCTGCTCCCATTGAAAAATTGACGGGTAAGGAATCTAATACTCAATGGCTTCTCGATTCTGGTGCGTCTTATCATATGACAGGCTGTGAAAAATTATTGTTGCATAAAGCAACACTACCGCCGGTGGCAGTAATACTGCCTAATGGAGTTATTACTCATGCGACCTGCGTGGGGGATGTGAAATTAATAGCATGTATTACACTTAAGAAGGTTTTGTTGGTACCAGGCTTGAAGTGTAACCTTGTGTCTATAGCTCGGTTAATTGATGATCAGAAATGTGATATATATTTTACTAATCAGTTATGTGTGATACAGGACCTTCCTACGAAGATGCTGATTGGAGCGGGTAGACGACAAGGCGGAGTTTATTATTTTCACGGTTTTGATCAAATAAAGGCGTGTCAAATACGGAAGGAAGATTCAAGTGACCTGTGGCATGCCCGGTTAGGACATCCGTCATCAAAAGTGTTACATTCTGTTATGAAATTAAATAAATTTGAGTCTCTAGATGAGTTGAATAAAGTTTGTGATGCATGTTTGCGAGGGAAACAAACTCGTGAAATATTTCGAATTAATAATGCTAAAGCAGTGGAACCTTTTGAACTAATGCATTGTGATGTGTGGGGCCCTTATAGGGTACCGTCTTCGTGTGGTGCTCACTATTTTTTTACTGTTGTTGATGATTTTTCCCGGGCGGTTTGGGTGCATTTGATGAAATCTAAAGATGAAGTAATAAACATTTTTAAGCAATTCTGTGCAATGACCAAACGTCAATTTGATAAACATGTGAAGGTGGTGAGAAGTGATAATGGAACAGAATTTATGAAGTTGAAAAATTATTTTCTTGAGAATGGAATAATTCATCAGACTTCATGTGTGTATACTCCACAACAGAACGGAAGGGTAGAAAGGAAACACAGACACATTTTAGATATGGCACGCACTCTAAGGTTTCATGCAAATTTACCTCTTGATTTTTGGGGCGAGTGTGTATTGGCAGCCGGTTATTTGATTAATCGGTTGCCTACTACATTGCTTGCACACAAAAGTCCATATGAAATGTTGTATAAGAAAGCACCATGTTATGATCAATTAAGGGTTTTTGGGTGTTTATCTTATGCACATACAACGAATGTGCGTGATAAATTTGGACCTAGAGGTGTGCGGTGTGTTTTTCTTGGCTATGCTCATTCTCAAAAGGGATGGAAAATGTTTGATTTGGACACTCGCCAACATTTTATATCTCGAGATGTTCAATTTATGGAAAGTCAGTTTCCATTTAAAGAAAGTCAAAGTTCCTGTGATAATTTGGTGGAAGATTCTGTGCCTTTTGTTGGACACCCAATGGATGAAGAGGCAGATGATGACATCGTGCATGAGAGGGGTGTAGGGACTCAGTCAGAGGCTGATAGAACAAGAGAAGACACCCAGGACCATAGCACAACACGTGTTGATCATGGGGATACTGGAACGGATGCAAATATACATGCCGCGGGAGAAATGGTTTCGCTGGATAACACTCAGCACAGTGAGGATATGCATGGTGATGATGGAGCTCACATAGTGACACGGCGGGGAACACGTGCACGGCATAAACCCACATGGCACGCTGATTACGAAGTGCAGTTAAATACCGTGAAAATTAATACTCCGTCTGCCGTTCTGCCTAAACCAACGGCATCTTCAGGTAAGCCTTATCCTCTATCTGATTATGTAACATATAATCGTTTTTCGGTCCCGCATCGTGCCTTTCTTGCAGCTATATCCACTGTTAAAGAGCCGGAAAATTATCTTAAAGCAGCTCGTGATCCCAAGTGGCGAGAGGCGATGCAACGGGAGATCGATGCACTAGAGCGAAATGGCACATGGAAGATGGAGAAACTGCCAGTTGGTAAGAAGCCTATATTCTGTAAGTTGGTATTTAAAATTAAGTACAAAAGTGATGGGAGCATTGACAGATATAAGGCTCGTCTGGTAGTCTGTGGAAATAGGCAGGTACAGGGAATTGATTATCATGAGACATTCGCTCCCGTAGCAAAGATGGTAACAGTACGAACTATCCTGGCAGTGGCAGCTTGTCGACGATGGGAGTTACACCAAATGGATGTTGACAATGCCTTTTTGCACGGGGACTTGGAGGAAGAAGTATACATGCATCCACCTCCTGGGTATTCGAGTTCACCGGGAGTGGTATGCAAACTTCTTCGTTCACTTATAGGCTCCGCCAGGCGCCGCGTTGTTGGTTTTCTAAATTGACTGAAGCCTTGCGTTCGTATGGTTTTTGCCAATCTCATGCTGATTATTCCTTGTTTATTTTACGGAAGGGTGCCAAAATACTATGTGTTTTGGTATATGTGGATGATCTTCTTATTACAGGCAATTGTCATGACATGATTGTTGATTTCAAACTTTTCCTAGCCACTTATTTCCCAATCAAAGATTTGGGGACGATGAAGTATTTTTTGGGGATCGAAGTGGCGAGAAATCATGATGGAATTTATTTATGTCAACGTAAGTATGTGTTGGACATCTTGGCTGAAACTGGCTTGACTGGAGCCAAACCGATAACCTTTCCTATGGTACAGCAACACGGGTTACAACGAGACGCAGGGCCTTTTTTTTCTGATCCTGAACGCTACCGACGTCTTGTTGGAAAGCTGATCTATTTGACGCTCACGCGACCAGATATTAGCTATTCTGTCCATATTTTGTCCCAGTTTATGCAGGAACCGCATGTAGCACACTGGGAAGCTGTGATCCGGGTCCTAAAATATCTCAAGGGGCATCCTGGCCAGGGAATACTTCTTCGGAGCGACTCCTCACTTGACTTGGTGGGTTATTGTGATTCAGATTGGGCCAGTTGTCCTCTCACACGACGATCCACTTCTGGTTATTTTGTCATGTTGGGGAAATCTCCGATTTCGTGGCGCACAAAGAAACAACTTACTGTTTCCCGCTCGTCTGCTGAAGCTGAGTATCGGTCTATGGCCTCTCTGACGTGTGAACTGATTTGGCTCAAAAGCTTACTTTCTTCTTTGGGGGTCAAACTCGAGCAACCTATTCCTCTTTTTTGTGACAATCAGGCCGCTTTGCATATTGCCTCAAATCCAGTGTTTCATGAGCGGACCAAGCATATTGAAATTGATTGTCATTTCTTACGGGATCATGTTAATGATGGTACTATTGCTCCAATCCATCGTTGCACTACTGAACAATTAGCAGACCTTTTTACTAAGGTTCTCGGGGCACATCAGTTTAGTTATCTGCTTTCCAGGATGGGCATTCGAGATCTCCATGCTCCATCTTGAGGGTGGGTGTTCGGGTTCGGTATCATCATACGCATGCATGAGGGACTACGTAACGCATGCATGCCCATTAAGTTTGGAGTCTTATGTATTTTAATCATTGTTTATTAATTTATTTTAATTTGTACATCCTTATCTCTTGTACTAGCGCTTACTCGCGCAAAGCGCGAGAGTGATTGCCCAATATTAAAATAGTGTTCTTTTCCGTAAAGAACTATTACATGCGCAATTATTATGAGATTTTTGTAAATAGTTAATGAGATATCCTACTTATTCTAAAAATTGTTAGATCAATTATATTCCATGTCAACCATTTATTGTGTGAAAAATATGTCTATATGACTTTAAAGTATACAATTATGCGATTCCGTTGTATTTTTTTGTTTTAACATATCATTTCGTCCCATAAAATTA